GCGTCGCCCTCCGCCGGAGGTCGCGGTGAGGCTCGCGACGCGCATGCGTCAAACGCCGGGGCCGGGCGTGCGCAGGGCGGCGGCGCCACAGCGCCCCCTGGCGGCGGTTCCCTCAGGGGGGCCCCGGCGACCATGACGGCGCCCAAGGGGGCCCTGGGGACGGGGGGGGAGGTCCCAGGGAGCCCGGGGACCAATGCGTCCCTCAGCGGGGGGCTGAAGGCCAGCAGCAGACGCAAGGGGAGCCTGGAGACGGCCGTCACCCGCTGCTTGGAGCAGGGGAGGAGGAGGAAGGGGAGCCTGGAGACCACCAGGGAGGTCACGGGGAGCCTGGAGACCGATGCTTCCTTCAGAGAAGGACTGAAGACCACCACGGGAGCCAAGGGGAACCTGGAGACCGCTGCCACCGGCCACTGGGAACAGGGGAGAAGGGGGAAAGGGGGCCTGGAGACCAGCAGCGAGCTTGAGGAGGGACTGGAGACCACCAGGGAGGCCATGGGGAGCCTGGAGACCACCAGCGAGGCCACGGGGAGCCTGGAGACCACCGTCACCCGCTGCTTGGAGCAGGGGAGGAGGAGGAATGAGGGCCTGGAGACCACCAGGGAGGTCACAGGGAGGCTGGAGGCCACCACTGACGCCACAGGGAGCCTGGAGACCACCGTCACCCGCTGCTTGGAGCAGGGGAGGAGGAGGAAGGGGGCCCTGGAGATGGCGACCGAGGCCGAGGAGGGCTTGGAGACCACCGCCACCGCCTGCTCAGAGCAAAACCAAGGTGGGAAAAAGGTCCCAGAGCCCAAGGGGGGTCCGGCCCCCGGCGTACGGCAGAAGGACCACAGCCCGGAGGAGTGCGCGGTGATTTCTCTGGGGGAGGATGAGGAGGAAGAGGAGGAGGAGGAGGAGGAAGGCCCCGGGCGGTACCTGGCGGCTCTAGAGGCCGTGCAGCTGGAGCTGGAGGCCGTGGAGGAGCAGGCGGCTCGCGCCTTCCGCCGCCTCCGCGCCAAATTCTGGCTCCGCCGGTGGCCGCACCTGCAGCGCCGCAACCGCCTCATCCAGCACATCCCCGGCTTCTGGGTCACCGCCGTATCCTTTTCTTTGGGGGGGTGTTGGAATTTGGGGGGGGACGCGCACACACACACAACTGTCTCTCCTTGACGCCCCGTCCCATCGCCAGTTCCTGAACCACCCCCAGCTCTCGGCCATGATCAGCGACCGCGACGAGGACGCCCTGAGCTACATGACGAGTTTAC